GGTATTGTTTTTTTATTCTTGGAGGCTATTTAAGTAGTATAAAAAAGCAACCATTATGTTTTAATTAATGACCACGACCTAGAATAATTCGGAATCACAAGTCTTCCAAAGCCGCGAGGAATGGGCGCGATCGATGACGTAAGAGATCGACCAGAAGATTATTGCTGAAGGAGACCGATGTTGGGCGCTTTCGCATCTTGTTGATATTGGCAAGCAAAAGAAAAACAATAAAACGCTAGCAATCCGCTGGAGAAAAACGAAACATTTTCGATATTGAACTAAATCAGTTTAGTTGAAAAATAATAATCTCAGAAGTAAATCCGACGTCAAAATGACAACACATTAGCTTGTAAAATGTGGAAAGCAATCGGAACATTTTAGAACACTTCGGTTGAGTTCGAAAATGGCTCAGAATGTCTGAATGAGTTTTGTCTTAAACTAGGCACGGTGATCTCAAGTCTAGTGTCTGCAAAAATCTTAAAAGCGTATCAGTTTACTCAAGTTACATTTCATCAAAGTTTTTGATAAGAGGCTAACAAATCGTTTTGAAGAAATGTAACAATCCACTCGAAGTTTGCCAGATGTCCTAAAGAAATGCTCGTAAAGCAAGAAAGGTAGGTCTGGATGACAGGAAGTCCACAATATTGAAATGAAATTCCAGAAAAAGTTCTACATTTATCTTTTTTTGTACTCAAAAAGTGAGTACACCATAGAATTGGTCAGTATGCCCGGCCGTTTACACGATAACTCTTGAAAGAGTAGTCCGATTGTGATGAAATTTTGTACACCGAATCGTCTCATCAATATCTCGATTGATTTCGAAGATGAGAATGATTTGTCGAGAAATTGCTGAGTTATCGCAAAAATACCATTATTTCCTATGCTTTTCTATGCGAACATTGACCTGTCCCGGTTTTCGTAAAAAAAGCTTTTTCTCTCATAATCAAACAAAACCTCAGCTATTATACACCATTCGATAGAGAATTTCACGGGCTACAAAATGGTATTTGAAACATTAAGAAACAGGAAGGCTAAGTTACCTATTGCAAAGATACTTAAACAGAAATTGCTTCTGTGTTTTTACTTTTTGAAGTACACATAACACTCGGATTTATATCCGAGGTTTCCACATTTTTTTGTAACTGGAAAAAGAACTTTATATTTGTAATTAAAAAACTGGAAGTATCCTTTCTACCATCAGAGCAAAAACCAAATCATCCTATAAATCCATAATGGAGATACACAATTTTCTTGTTGATCGATGGCTTTACAGACACCCTGTATACTGAAAATACTAATCAGTACTTTATATTGTTCGTTATGACTCATATCTTCTGAGGAAAACTAAAGATAAATTGAAATATTTTTGAAATATATAAATAACATTTATGAAATCGAATACATCAAAATTAAGAACAGCATCTCTCACTCACAATATACTGACATAACCGCTAT